TGCATGATGTTATTTTCTTTATTTTCTATAAATGTCAATAGATTACTTACAATTTATATATTGATATTATTATTGATTGTGTTTGTGAGAGTATCTATTTAAGATTAATATTTGTAACTCGAATTTTGGATGCGAGTTCTCAAACAAATAAACCTTATTTAATATATTTTCTATTTGGAATGTCTTGTGGTCGAGGCGCCCGCTTCACGCCTTTTCAGAGGGGGGAATATTTGTAATAATAAAATTCATATCAAGAAACACTTAAAATTCTAACTTAATGTTCTATTCATTTTTAATGGCGACGTTCTCTTATTGAAACTACGTGGAATTAATCCACAGCCCGTAGTCAAGTGTTTTCCCGCCTGTTCTACACGTACCGTTTTAGAATGTTCTGGAGATATTTAAAGAACGGATTGGCTGACGAGGCTGACGTCATTTCTGGAAGCTCCGCCTTTTCAGAGGCTATAAAATGACTCGCAAAAGGAATATCGGGGCTTTTCTTAAATGTCACGATGCAGTAAACTTCATACAAATGTATTAGTAATTCTTTTATTTCTCGGATATCTGATTTTTGTAACTGCTATTCTCCTGAATAGAATAATGGCCGTTTTTAAATTATCATCTGATAATGTTAAGCGGACACCATATAATATATCGAAAGAGAAAATAAAAGCTGACAATAATGTGAAGTAAGACCTATCTGGTCTTAAAATATTTTGCGCAAATGCTGCAAAAATGAATTCTAGGAAGAAATATTGTAGCGAGTTGCTAAAAAGTTACCAGGAGCTGTAGCTCCATGATTAGTTCAACGCGTATTACTAAATATTAACATAGAAAAATTTTTTAAAAAAATTATTAAATGGGTTTATTTCGCGTGTTATTTCGCGCGTGACAGTTTTATTTCGCGTGTAAGCTGTTTTTTTCATTTTTCCATGTAAATTTTTTTTTAAAATTTCTCTGTGTTAATATTTTAGTAATTTGAGTTGAACTATTTCATGGAGCTACAGCCGGTAACTTTAGCAAGCTCGCACAATATTTCTTCCTATATATATATAATATATATATATATTACAGCCTATTCCATTCGTGTATAATTGTAGTTTACAAACTTAAAGCATTTCTTAATCTCTTCATTTTGGTGTATTATATCCTGTGAAGGAGTGGATGGAGATGGCATTTTCTGCAGATTAGGGAATTTATCACATAGCATTTTACTAGTTACAAAACATTACAGTGTGGCTGGCAGTTTTAACTAATGAATTCCAATATAGACTGAGATTTTGGAACTTCTCAGTGTGTATTTAGAGCTGATCAGTTTATACCACCACCTACACTGTAATGTTTTGTAACTAGCAAAGCACCATATAACACCTTCAGCTATATCAAGCATCTGTATGCAATTTTCAAATCGGTTTTTTACTGTTTTGTATCAAATTCTTGTACAATAGTATAATTTCTTATTACCTTCAGTATTCATTTTCGATATTTGTAATTAGTATTAATGCATAATCCGGGTACTTGAATCTGTGACGTTGCATCTGTAACTCCTCATTAGTGTTTGCATATTATAACCAACACATGTATCTATGTAAATTCTTGTTAACATAATTTTGTAAATTTTTCTATTCTTCATGATCTTTTACTACAAGTGATGTAACGTCTAGAAGTTTTATTATTGACTGCGGAGCAGCTCACATGTGTTGGAGTGAAGAATGATTTTCTTCATTCACTCTCAAGTCAGTAAATGTGAAATATGCTTCGTGTTCATCCGCTTAAATGTAAAAGGTGTGGGCCAGATTTCTGAGTAAACATAGAGTGGCATTCGAATAACTCTAACAAATGTGCCTTTTTAGCTCAGATTTGAACTCTCAGTTAATTTGAGTGCGAAATACTGAAGCTGCAGCTTTTAGTAATTTTTAAGGATAAATGCGTTCATTGTTAACAAAAGTCATAAGGCATGTTTTGGCCATAGCGAAAATAGTGGGCAATATGTCAATGATTTTGTTGACTATGTTACTATTTTGTGTTTCGTTACTAGCAAAGGAGAGTGATACTAATTTGTGTCATCATAGACTTGATCACTATTCCAGGCCTAAAGAGGGTGTTTGCACAATTTTAGAACGATTTCAATAAAGAATTAAAAAAGCAAATGTTTTGGAATTAAAATGTCTGGCAACACATTATCATTTGATATGAGAAATAACATTTGTTACTTTGAAATTTATTCTTCTTTCAAAATGTCGCATGTAAACAAGGTGTGAATGTTTTGAGTTTTCCAAATAGAAATATTCTTGCTTCATAATTCAAAACTTCTGTAAAATACCTGGTATTAAAATGGTGGTGGCTAACTTGAAAATAAGCAACATTATTAATCGGAAAGGGAAAACATAATTTTTACATGGAAAGAAGACTCCAGACGAACACCCGAAAAAAGTACGTCTTTAGGGAAAAAAAAATCCGCCGACATGTAAATAAATTGCATATTCTTTAAATACATCTGTAACAACAATAAATAAAATAATAAACCAAAATTTAAAATTAAAAAAAAGCTAAGAAACAGCCGAGGTATATGGCTCAATGCAGAGCAACTGGTAGAACCCTGTATGAAAGCTATTAATCTGAAAATAAATGGAAATGCATCATGAACCTTGATGAAGCATGGGCATACCTTGATGACTGCAACTTTGCATTAATAGTATTTAACCTCTGTGCCTATCTATCTGTATATTTTAATATCCGCCCCATTCATTGAAAAAAAAAACTGCGAGGCGTCTGTGCATATGAAAGACAATATAAAACTTATGCTGGTTTCGTGAAATATTGCTTGTCAGATTATATATGCTCAAAATATCCGTTTAAGTAGACATGCCGAGTAAGATATGCCTAGTTAGTTTACTTACTTACTACTTGTAATAAGTTTCGCCAGAAATTATGTGTGTGCAAAATGTACCTTTAAGTAAAGATAGTCTATCGCTTATAGATATAAGTCTATAAGGCATTTGCCTTAAACAATTTGTTGCTACATTTCTTGTAATGGGGCAGATAAGGGAGGAATTAATATCGTACAATGGGAAGGTTTGACATGAAACGCATGAGGTCCAAGGGCCACCACAAGGATTATAATAAAAAATAATAGGAAATGACTGCTAAAAATTTATTTCTTTTTAACATTTATGTGCATTTAAAATATATATACCGTATTTACTGGCATATTTCTCTCCTCAGTTTTTTTAACGTATAATTTAGAAACGCCTGATTTATGGAAACAATGTAAAACATACGCACGAATAGGAATGTATGTTGTATAAGCTGTAGAGACATTAGGTATTTTTTGAAAAACCGGAGAGATGAAAAATGAGCAACCGCCCTCGCCGGGAATCGAACCACGGACCTCTGGAATACCGGCCCAGCGTGTAGAATCAATCACTACACCACGAAGGCACGCTAGGAAGGCGGGAGAAATACCTTATAAAGTTAAAAAAATATTACTCAGATTGATAAGGTCTTTAAAATGTATAATATAGTAATATTATTGTGTCTTAGTGTGTGCTTCTTAATGTGTTATATTTATCATTTTAGCCGTCCTTTCAGAAATAAGATACACCGCGCATTTTTCCCCTCTCGGTTTCCAAGTGGTAAAATTAATAAAAATAGGGTGGGAAGTTCACGAGTAAATACGGTATATATATATTACAATACCTTTGAATTTGATAAAGTGCGTATGAAGATTTAACCTATTTAGATTGTTTAAAAGTTTATATCAGTTATGTAAATTATGCATATCATGTACAGAAATTTCACTTTATATGAATTCGGTATGCACGAAAGTGGTTAATATGCTTTAATGAAACGGTATTACTTTCCAGTTTATACTAGTAATTACTCAATTAATACTACTTTTTATCATATGTTATGAACAATGTTTTTTGCTAGTTGTTTAATGAAATGTATGGACATGAAATAAAAATTTAAAATTATTGAATTGGTGCAAAGAATATCTTGATGCACATACAGCGAGACAAATTTCATTTTAGTTTCAAATATGATAAAGTGAATACAGAGGTAACTGGTAGAATTAAAAGATTAAGGTTTATAAATTATGCTTATATAATTATGCAAATCATAAGATATAGAGTAGTGGTTTTTTAGAGTGCTGGTCAGGAGACCAAGTTTAGGGATCTTGAAAAGTTTAGAATTACCTCTAATTACAAATGGATTTATTATTCTCAAATGAATTGAAATTTTTGCTAGTTCTACATGTTTGTGTGTTATTATGGTATTTTCTTCCAGCTGTCTCCTTTTCTTCTTTTGGTGAATAGCGATAAGTCGCAACTACATGCAGAAGGACTGGAAAGCTAGAATAGTTGGAAAATACATATAATGAATGCATCTTAATATCCAAATAAGAAATAATATACACCATTTAGTGTTCTGTCTTCATCAGTTACTTTTGTATTAGTTATAACTATGATAATGTGCAAATAACGAATGTATGTAACAGGCTGGTTAGAGGGAAGAGTCGTAGGAAGCTGCAACGATGGTCGCATTGGGATTGAGTATAAAACGTCGATGATGATCTATAATAAAACTGAGAGTTTTCTGTTCTCTAATTAGAACAATCTCCCAGTTTAATTACATGAGCCAAGTCAAAGAATAAGTCATAACACTGTCAAACACTATGCAGTGGGCAACATTTTCAACCTGAAGCGTGTCTTCGGAGGATACACCCTGTGTCAAACCTCGGATGCATTTGGTACCGCAATGTAGCAAAATGATCATAGCAGTATTTGTTTAGTCTATGAGTTACGTGAAAGTCACTTAAAAAGATTGAAAATGTTCTAATTATTCCATATGTTTGTGAAAATATTTTAAAAAAATGTGATTTTATTTTATTCTTTTTTTTAAGGGAAAAAAAACTGATGAGGCGTGAAGAAAAACTAATTAAGAGACATGAATAGAAAATAATTTAAAAAATTTATTTCTTGAAACTCATAAAAATATTTATCAATTACTTCGGAAATCATCACTTTATGAGAGGAAACCATGCAACATCTACATTACCTTTGGGTAATTTATGCGTGGAGATAATAAATGAGTTTATGGTAGGAGAACATACTTTTGTAATGACCCTTTCAGTACGTTTATTTATTTTATCCATATGTTACTAAAAGATTCGAAAATTCTTTGGATGCCACTTTGATAGAGTTAAGAAATTACTTCATTTAGCTGAAAAATTATATTTTTTCTTCTCACAGTATTCTTAAGTTTTTGAACTTTTGGAATTCTTCACGTTACAAGGAAAAAGATGGCATTGGTCTTTACGTACCGCTAATAACAGGAGTCTCAAGCCAACATAGTCAGCAATTTTTTCATCCAACCTGAAAATAAAATGGGTACATTATATACATATATAATTTACTTGATACTCTAATCATGCATATTCAAGAGCATTTGCAATTTTTTGATACTGTGGCGATAGGAAGAGAGCAAAGAGGCAGCGTCTTAGCGAGAACAGAGGTAGAAAAGCAAACGCGCACAGTTATCGAAATTCGCAGAATTTGTACAATTCCTTTTGCATGTTTATAGTGAAAGGCATCGTCTCGGTTGATCATTGGAGATTTTTGTGTGTTTTTTTCGTATTTTTGTGCATATTTTTTTATTATTTAAAAATATTTCTTGAACGTTTAGAATTAAAAAAAGGAATAAAGACCACTCTATAAGTACTATGAGCAAGAAAGGTGTTTCTACATTAAAAAAAAATATATTAATTGAAAGATTTGAACATGGAAAATAGACAATAAATCTCACCGAAGAATCTACTCGCAAACTGTCCGTGATATTGTTAAACAAATTTAAAAAAAAGTTAGAGGCCTTCACGAGAGATTGTGACAGTGGGGCAGGTTCTTATAACTGAAACAGCATGAAACATTCAATACACGAAAACTTAGATTTAGCTATTCTTGGCATGGTTTCACCGGAAACGAGCAGAAGGAGTGAAAATCAGCGGTCAAATGTGTATAGAGTAATCCAAGATTTTCTATGAAAAAGTGGGATTAGAACGCAACTTTAAGACTTCGCCAGGATGACTTATAAGATTTAAGCATGTTGAGATATTTGTAATCGCATTCTTACTGGTTAAAAGGAAGTATAGCTTTCTGTCAAGTCCGAAACATTCATTAGCTTTCAGCCAGGTCCGAGTTATTCTGAAAATTTAAATTTCATTCTGTATGTTACTTTTGATTGGTTAGTTATTGTGTCTTGTTTATGATTTGTTAAACCATGATCTGTTGTAAAGTTATATATATGACCTTTGTAACCACTTATCGCTATTTGAGCTTTGGAGTTACTGCGAGCTGGTCGCTTGGTGAAGTGTTCCTGATCGATCGTGCGCGTAAGTAGTTTTCGAGTTTGGTTTTTGATTTTTCCAAGTTTTTTCATGATGGACTTGCCTTTCCGTTAGGGACGGTAGGTTTTTTGGACTGTTGCAATGAATCCCAACTTAGAGTACATTCAGATTTAAACTTAATTAATGATAAAAATGTTATTGAAAATCTTATTGAAAGTGGTTCAGAAGAGGAATTAGATGCTATATCTACCTATTTGCAAATCCAAAAAAATCTTATTGATAGTGGTCAAAAAATAGTTGATCCAGAAGTTGAAAAATTGTTTCAGGTTATGGTAGCCAAACTCTTCAGTAAACGGCAATTAAAAAATGTTAAATCTTCAAAGGAAATTGATGAGATTGTAGGAATTGGTCAGATTCTGACCCAACAAAACATGAATAATGTCAATGTGCAAGACAATAACTCTCTTAAGCAGGGCGAAACTTGGATTTAAACCCAAAAAAACGCACAAGCGTACTTTAAGTGATAGCAGTAACTCATCTGTTACAACAATAAAAAATAGATATTCTACCCTTAGAATAGATGACGGCATGGAAGTCAATCAACCAAACGCCCAACACAAACCCTCAGGATATGGACCAATCAGAAGAAGGCGAATTCATAGCCCCTAGAAAAACTGCAAACCGTGTGTACCGCCCGATTATAATATCTGACATTACGTCTTGGAAGCCCCTTAGAGATGAAATTAAAAAATTTACCACAGCTATGGAGTGCGTACAAAAAGGTGGAGACATCCACATAAAAGTCAAATCTGACGATGACTATCGCTCAGTCACAAAATTTTTGGATAATAAGGAAATACCTTATCACCACACTTTTCCCCTACCAAGGGATAAGCCCATTAGAGTAGTAATAAAGAAGCTTTCAGTGCATACTAAACCTGAAGAAATATTAGAAGAACTCCAACAATTAAAAATTCCAGTTAAAACGGTTAGACAGATAACCAAAAAGATTGACAATGAAATTGTCAAATTGCCAACTTTCCTTGTAGAAGTCCCACGGACTGTTGAAGGAAAAAAGATATTTCAGGTACACACATCTTGGACCTTGCGGTCAAAATTACCTCTTTCCAACCAACCCCAGGGACACAAACAGTGCCATAACTGTCAGAGATATGGACATAGTCGCTCCCACTGCAAACATAAACCAAGATGCTTAAAGTGCGGATTAAACCATATCACCACTAGCTGTACAAAAGATAGAAATCTTCCAGGAAAGTGTTGCCTTTGTGGGGGACCCTACGTCAGTTCCTACAGGGGTTGCGAAATGCACCCTGACAATATTAAACGTAAGATTGCTGGAAAAGAAAATCAAAGAGATGCCTGGAGAAAGACAAGAACAAATCCTCCAGAAAACAACTTAGAGAACTTACCCCCATTACCGAGTAGGAGAAACACTAACGAAAATGTTAATGAAGCCAGTCCCTCATCAGCCAACCAGAATGAAGCTCACGAAAGAGAACAATTAGGCTCCGCCCCGGATTTCCTGAAACGGATCAAAAATCTATTTACTCAAGGCAAAGCGCTATTTGAACGCTTTTTTTAAAGCCAAGTCAATAATGGAAAAGCTCCAAATAGGGTGGGAAGCCTTTGAACTTTTAGCAAATTTAAATTATGAATGTTAATATTGTAAATAACTATGCAAGCATCCAACTTACTGCCTCCAGCAGTTTAAATTTCGCCTTCTTTAATGCCAACGGAGTTCGCGGCAAGAACACTGAGATCATAAACTTTCTTAATTGCCATGACATTGATATTTTCTTAATTAACGAGACACATCTTCGAGCTAGTGATAAATTTAACATCCAAGGTTATAGAACCTTTAGAAAAGACAGAGAAAATAACAGGGGCGGTGGCACCCTGATTCTCATCAGAAGACACTTGCAGGCCAACTACTTTAATCTCCCAAGTTCTAGTAATATTGAAACTACTGCCATCATAGCTCACTCTCGCACTAATGAACCTATTGTGATTATTTCTGCTTATAATCCCCCGGGACATAATATCAGCAACAGTGACATGAGCATCTTTAGCGGCATTATGCTTCCCACAATACTAGCCGGAGACTTAAACGCGAAGCATCACTCCTGGAACTCTCGACGTGCAAATGCAAACGGGAACTTCCTTCATAATTATGCCCTTACAAATGATTTAAGTATCTTTGGACCAACGGATCCCACCAGATACAGCCATTTGATATTGTTATCACAAAAAATATTGCACAAATCCCCTTCCTACAAGTTTCACACCAGCTAACTTCCGATCATCTGCCTGTCAGGTTTACTTATTACGGCTTTGAAAAAGAAAAAAATATTCCACTTAGAAAAATCACAAACTGGGATAAATTCATTCATTCTCTGGAAAAACTACCAGCGCATCCTGCTTTAGCCGATATTACTGACATTGAGTATCAAATCAAACTAAGGTCAATAATTGTATAAAAAGTGCTCTTGACAAATCTACTAAATATGAAGAACATAAAAAAGAAAAACTTCCGGATAACATTATTGACAAAATTAAGGACAAAAATCGCACCGCTAAAATTTGGCGCCGTACTGCTGATCCTAATATCAAAAGAATTCTTAACAGAAAAAATAGGAATATTAAAAATCTTCTAAGTGAATACAGATCTGATAGTTGGAATAATTTATTAGACTCAATGGACTTCAACCCTGATACAGTGTGGCGTATTGGGAAAGCGCTCAGAAAAACTCATAGCGACAACATTGGACCGTTGCACACCGATACTGGAATCGCATATTCTGAAAAAGATATGGCAGAAGTTCTTGCAACACATCTTGAAAAAACCTTCACGACAAATAACTCACAAGATGAAGATACAGAAGAGGAAGTTTTTAATTTCATTATTCACCTTCCTGATAGAACAGATGGACAGCATATTGGTTACACCTCGCCCATTGAAATTCAAAACATTATAAAAAATCTGAAAAATAGAAAGGCCCCCGGCTACGACGGGATAACAAATAAAGTGCTCAAAATTCTCCCCAAGGGATATATTGTCCTAATTACCAACATAATTAATGCCTGCATAAGGCTTAACTATTTTCCGCAGCAGTGGAAAATGGCACATATCATTACTTTTGTTAAACCTGGCAAAGATCCAAAAAATGTTAACTCTTATCGCCCAATTAGCCTGCTTCCAAGTCTTAGCAAAGTTTTTGAGCGAGTTCTACAGAAACGGCTGACCAGACACTTGGAAGATAGAGGGATAATTCAAAATGAACAGTTTGGTTTTCGCCCACAGCATAGCACAGTACATCAACTTCTCAATGTTACTGAATTTATTGCCGATTCCTTTTCCAAAAAAGAATACTATTGCAAGCTGTTTCCTAGATTTAGAAAAGGCATTTGACAAGGTGTGGCATGAGGGACTCCTCTTTAAGCTACACCTTGCTCATCTGCCTATAAATTTTATCAAACTAATGCAAAGTTATCTAAAAAATCGCAATTTTCATGTCAAAATCAATAATACTTTATCCTCAAGAAAAAGAATCAAAAGCGGCGTCGCCCAGGGAAGTGTTTTGGGGCCAATTCTCTTTAATATCTTTACTAATGATATGCCAATCCCACTAAATTCAAAAACTTGTGAAATATGCAGATGACACCGCTATTTTTACAAAATCTTTAAAACCACAGTTTGCCAGTAGACAAATTAGAAGAAGCAGTTAACATCATCGCACATTACCTCAAATCTTGGAAACTTAAAGTCAATCCGGACTAAATGTCAAATTCTGCTCTTTAGAAGGTATAGAAAATTTACTCCAGTAAACGTAAATATAAAGATAGAAGATCAGCCACTCCCGTCGTCAATAGTACTAAATACCTGGGTGTCATTTTCGATTCACAACTCTCTTTCAAGGAACAGACTGCATATGCCTTACGGAAAGCTACAGCCGCAAAAAAATGGCTCTGTACCCCTCATCAAAAGAGACTCAAAATTAAACATTCAATTAA